AAAAAATTGACGAGCCACGAGCTCGCACGAGCCCGAGCCGAGCTCGTGGCTTAAAGGGCTGACAACACTAAACCCAACCCAACCCAATCCGATCCGATCCGATCGATACTTGATTGGGTTAGGTTGGATTAAATTTTGATCAAACTGATCATGTTGGGTTGGGTTTGGGTTGAGACAAAAATCGACCCAACTCAACCCATGTCCACCCCTAGGTGGGAGTGGAGGCTTTTACAATGCACATCAATACCCGACTGAGGTTAACATCCCGCGGGTGGACCAAAGAGGACAGAAAAATTGAAGTCTTTACTACGAACAGCTGATAGTATAGAAAATGCTAAAAATATGTCAACAAATATATACATTCACATTGAAAGTTCATAAAAGAGTTCTAAAATAGTTAAGCAAATACCATTTTTGTATATCTTCCTAACTTTCTTCTTCTAATCACCTTTTTTCCCAAACAGATTCTTTTGAGGAAAGACAATTTTACTATACTAGTGTTGGCTTCTTCAATGGTTTCCTATATCATAGTTTCATACAGAATTATCTACTTGTTAATCAATTTTTTACATCAAGTTAGACACCCTTTGAGGTGTCAAAATCGAGACCATTGACTTGAACAAGTGTTGCCAAAATCCATTATAAAATTGTATGTNAAAGACAATTTTACTATACTAGTGTTGGCTTCTTCAATGGTTTCCTATATCATAGTTTCATACAGAATTATCTACTTGTTAATCAATTTTTTACATCAAGTTAGACTCCCTTTGAGGTGTCAAAATCGAGACCATTGACTTGAACAAGTGTTGCCAAAATCCATTATAAAATTGTATGTCACATCAAATGGTGTAAATAAAGTTGTTGACCATAATGTAATTGTAGCAGAACTATGCAATGGCTTAAATAAGCAAGTGGGCACGTGACAACATAAGAACGAGGTCAAATGGGAGAAAAATTCTAGATATCGGTTGTCTGTAGATGTTTTCTTTTAGATATATATTGGAATTCATAAAAACTTAATTCTAGGAAAGGAGAGATTGAGATGTTTCCAAGGTTGGTTCCTCTCAAGAAGATTTACTTGTAATTTAGTTCAAAGGATATGTCCTCGTTTATTGCTTTCTCCATAGCATGTGATACGCTCAAGGAGAG